TCCCAGGGTCTCCAGATGGTAGGAGCAGCAGCCACCGTCTTCTGGGCAGGCTGCTTTCTGGTGAACAGACATGGTGACAGAGGCGAACTGCGCGGAGCAGGAGAGTACATGACATCTGCCCCCATCTGAGCTTTGCAGAAGTGCCTGATCAGCTGCACTTGAGTTTCCTTTTTGGGTTCATAGTAGGACAGAAAATGCATAGCTTCCTTGAGGCACCGCAGGTATCCACTGTTGAAGTCCTGCTCTAGGTTCTTGTGCATGAATGCTAGAAAAGAAAGAAAGAAGCAAATGCAAAGAGTTAAGATCACAACCAAAACATGGGACAGTGGTGATGTTTTGCTACAGCCCCTGCTTGTTTCAGGGGGCAGGGCTATACAGGAGGGCAAAGGCCTGCAGGAGTGGACTTAGGGGTGTGCAAGACATGCTCTGCACTCACCATGGTCCTGCAGCTGGTTCTGCTGCTTCAGGTAGCTGACAGCCACTTCCAGGATGTCAGCTTTCTCCAGCTTGGAGTTGTGCTGGTGTCTCGGGAACTCCTTCTCCAGGAGCAGTTTCAGCTGCTCGATGCTGCTGTTAATCCGGTCACGACGCATTTTCTCCACCACCGGCTTCCTCAGCTGTGGCAGAGATGGAGCAGAGCATTAGGAATTTTCTGAGACCTGGCCTAATTTCCCCTCGCACGTGTTCAAAGACACTTCCTTTTGGTAGGAGAGCTTTGTGATGCTGCCTGCCTGTTACCTACTCAGTTTCATTTAACAAAAACCAATGTAGTCTCCTCTATCTCTCTTTAACCCATTTGCCTTTCCCCAGACCACTTTTTCCTTCTTTATCTCACATTTTCCCATGTAGTATTTATTTGATAGAGGCAGCTGATTGCACAGAGCACAGGGCAGCCTTTCCAATCCTGTCAAGGGCCCTACTTACTTTATTCTTTTCTTTTGGCAGTATCTTCTCCTCCATGTGCATCATGAGAGTGTTACTGGGAGCCATTCTTAGTGCTCTGAGTTCTGGGCACAGACTCCCAGGCTGGGCTGCTGTGCTGAGTGTTCAGGCTATGCTTTGGCAGCTATCAACTGCCTCTATTTATACATCAGGGAGCTTCAGCAGATACGTGAGTCTCGGGATCACTGGTGTTTCCCACAGCCATGCAGCCAATCCAGGCACACAGCTGAACAATAGAGGAAGCATCTATTAGTGCATGGTACATTGATTGCAAATGCCCTGGAGAGAATAACCTTCTGCCCACGCTGACTGGTGGAGTGTGCAGAGTGGCTCTTCAGGGCTGCCCAGGGATCTGGGAAAACACTGACCCTCCAGCTGGTTGTCTGGGATCAATGGCATTCCTCAGGCCCTGCA